GCACCATGGACTTCTGGTGAGTGCCCCCAGCCCGGCTGCGTGCGGCAGGGCCCGCGCCGGGCGCTGACTGCTTGCTCTTGTCCACAGCGTGAAGGTCTGGGACATCCCGCAGCAAACGGTGCTGCACTCCTACAGAGGTGAGTGCCGCACCGGCCCCGTCGCCCAGCTCCTCCGGGCCCCTCGCCGGTTGCCGCAGGCTGAGCTCAGCCCTGCAGCATCACTGGTTAACTCCCGTCTGCCAAACCACACTTGGGTCCGTGATCTGATGCTTGCCAGTCTGTGGAGTTTCTGGCACAGCTTTATTTCTTTGTCAGTCGTTCATTTCTCCCTGTAAAATGAATGCTGTAAGGCCTAGTTTGCCTTGCATCTCTAAGTGTACTTTATTCTGTACTGAAACCTTTCTTCCACCTGCATACCATTGTGTGATCTCCTAACCAGTATTTGTTTTGAAGGACAGCTCGTTAGAGGTGCTGATCTCTGGAGATGTGGTATTGTGATCTCTAGCCACAGCAGAGGCCGTGCTTTGATCCTCTCCCCCCCCAGCCCCTTTGTAGCTGACCTCTTGTCGGAGAGGCTTCCTCAAGCTGCTGCACGTCCCAGGGACTTGACTGCAGTGGCTCTGCTTGGATCTGGCAGCTCTTCCGTTTGATAGGAAGCAGTTGGCTGCTGCTGAGTAGAAGTTAAGCCTGTATCTGGGCATAAACTACTCTTTATTATACCGCTGTGCCTTCAGAGATCCTTGGGAACATGTGGGAAACTTGGATATAATCTTTGAGGCTCTTTATCCTTTTGTGCTTTTGGTAGCTCACTCCGGTTCAGTGACGTGTGTGGCTTCTTGTCCTGGTAAGGACACTGTGTTCCTGTCCTGTGCTGAGGTAATGCTCGCTCTCTGTCTAAATCTACCTGATAAAAGTGATATTTTAGTTATTTACCGTTAAATGCACTTACCGAGAAACCACTTTTTGTGTTACAAGCTGCATACCTGTGTTATTTCAATGTTCCAGTCTGATAAGTTGCCAGTCAGCTTACCAAGCTGATTTCTACAAGTCTGTGTTAAAACGTGGGAGTCCCCAGCTCTGTCCTGGGGGTGACTGAAGGAGGTAACTCCCAGTTAATGGCAGCGTCGTTTTAACACAAAGGAGGAGGTGGTGTGGGTTTGAACGTGGGTCGGTAGCAGTTCTGCAGTGAATCTGAGTTTATGCCTACCCCCTGCCACAAAGAAATTGTAAAAACCTTCGCATTCACTTTGCATTTATAGGACAGCAGAACTTTGCTCTGGGACACCAGATGCCCCAAACCAGCTACCCGAATCGGTACGTTTCTGTATGCAGTCGCTCCTTGCGTATGAGCTTCTGTTGGAAGCAAAAAAAATTTTAAATAGTTGTCTTAGTGCGGTAGCAGTGCTACCTGAGCCAGTGTAGGAATATCTGTGTACTGCTCATCCCAGTTTATTTTCTTGCAGTTTGCAGTGCCTGTAATTACCTCCCTACCTCACTTATGTGGCATCCACAGAAAAGTGACATCTTTGCTTTGGGTAAGAAGTGCTCTTATTATTTGACTTTCACCAGACAAATCAAGGTCTTTCTTTTCACATGACAACTTTGCTAATAACCTCATTCTCCCTTCCTCTCTTGAAGGTGATGAAAATGGAACAGTTGCACTAGTAGACACAAAGAATCCTGATTCTGCCCTCAGCTCCACTGTGCATGCCCGAAGTATCACGGGGTTTGCATTTTCTACACATAGGTACAGTCTGATACGCTGGTGTAGAATCTGTGACTACATACACTTGAAAACATTACTTGTTTTTAGAGTAAAACCTATGAGAGCACTCGTTTTGGTCTTTGTATCAAGATCATCAATAGAGAATAGAGCAAACCGACCAGGGTCTCGCTTTTGACAAGAAGGGTGTGAGTGTATGTGAGAACACTTTTGCAGCACTCAGCATTACTGCCCCACTCACCTCTGCTTGAAGAAGGATTACTTGCTTTCCGATGCCAATAGAATATTCTCGTTTAGCATGCTGGCAACCTGCCAAATAGTGCTGAACAATTTTTTGTAAGATTTGGTGTCTGTTAATTCGCTGTAGCTGGGCCAGGCTCACTAAGAAATGTGCCTTTCACAAGGCTATCCCTGAGCAGCTTTCTTGTATGTGATTGTTCTAACCATGGTCTCATCTCTGTCCTCTAGTTCACCCTTACTGGCAACGATCAGTGAAGACTGTTCAGTAGCTGTTCTTGACTCAGACCTCTCGGAGGTGTAAGTATTAGCCAAGAATGTATTCACTGCTATAGCTGTTTGTCTTGTTGACTTCTCATTAAGCTAATGATTTATCAATGTGCTGAGTGGAAGATGAAAATACTCCTTAAAGAGGGGAGCATCATTCGAACAAACCAGCAGTTAGGAATAGCACAAGCCCATAAACTCTTCGTGACAATGCTTTATGGTTGATGCAGCATTCCTTTTTTCCAGGTTCAGAAACCGTTCTCATCGAGACTTTGTAAAAGGCTTATCGTGGTCTCCTTCGGACGATGCCTTGCTCACTACAGTTGGATGGGATCATCAGGTTTTACATCACACTGTCCCCTTACCAACTGGTGAAGCTTCTGGAGTCAACTGTGTAAAAGAATAGTTTTATAAACTCGTGGTCCAAATTCCTTCCTGGCATCACTTTGATTCTGCTGAAGTCAAAGGTGTGTGTGAACTGGAGTGGGCATGGTCTGTTTTCTGCCTTGAAGCTTGTGACTAAGAAGGTTCCTGTAGTAATTTTGCATTAGGCATAAGTTAGTTACAAACCAAGCTTTACCCTCTCCTTGGGCATTGGCTTCACCTGTGATAAGACTTCAGTATTTTACCCAGAAAAAAAATAAATTGACTTCAGGCACAGAGGAGACGTGAGAGACAGAGAATTAAGTATAATTAAAAAAAAAAAAAGGACTACTCTATTCTTCCCTCATTTCTCCAAACCACGGAATTAGTAGAAACATTTTTGGGGAGGTTAAAAACAATACCTCTCGTTAATTGGAGGCAAGAGCTTCATCCTTGAGCAAAGCTCCTTGCTCTGTAAATCAGTTCTTCCAGCTGAAGGGGAAGATGCGTTAGCATTTACAGACTAGAAGGGTTCCACTGTTGTCCTTACCGCAGCACGTGGTTTAGAGGTTCAGTCTTTGCTATCTGCTAGTGTGGATCCTAGGGCGAGCACTGTTTATGCACTTCTGCTCCCTTGCTGGGTATCGGAATGCCAGTGCTTGGCGTGAGGAGCCTTGTGTGCTGTGTAAGGATCCCAGCTGTAGCCCTGAGATTGAACACCTTCATGACACTGCATGGCCCGTGCTGAAATACTGGGACCTGCGATGTTAAAAATCGGCTCGCAGCAGAGGCCAGCTCAAAGGGGCTGTTACTGTAGCGTGCTGGAAGCCAGAAGTTGGCAGTCGCTGTGCTGTTTGATGCCATGTTTCATCTCCTCTGTGCTGAAGACAACTTACTCAAAGATCAGACCTGTGAACAAACGTTTTATGTAAGGAAAAAAACTGGACTGAGGACTTGAAAGATCAGACCTGTGAACAAACGTTTTTTTATGTAAGGAAAAAAACTGGACTGAGGACTTCAGTTTTCATTTGCTTGCTCCTATAAACAGACTCTGCTTAGTGATAAATGAGACTCCTTCTGCACTTGTGCTGAGTGACTTCTTGTGCCGGAGACTGAGGGGGCCAAGCATCCCGTAATCCCCAAAACAGACTCCACATAATCCCAGGAGGTGTTTTTTGTAATATACCACATACTTTTCAAACTAAACTGTTTCCCTGGAACATACTTAACTAAAAAAAAAAAAAAACCAACCCCCACATTGCTCTGCATGCATTGCCACTGCTCCAGATGTGGCTTGGTCTGGCCTAATATTTCCTAGACACCGTAAAACAAGTCCTGACTAATGAAACAAAAAATACTATTGATGAATGCTCCTCCTGTTTCTTAGCACGATAGCAACACTAAACTGTACACCACTTCCACTGGGCTTATCCCTGCATAAACACAGGTTTTAGCTGATCCAAATTATGCAGAACCCACAATTAATTTTCCAGCAGGCTAAGCTTTCCCAGGCTCTGTGCTTTTATCGTACTCTTTTTAAACCTTGTTTGCTGCTTTTTTAATTCTCATGTCATACAGGTGTTTAGAGAGCAAACTTTGTGGTCTAGAGCAGTGTATGACAAGGAAAAGGTAAATGATTATAAAAACTGGCAAGTTTCCTCAAAAAGTACCCCTTGACCAACCAAAAACGTTACCTGTTGCAGACCTCTGATGGTGTACTGAAAACTGAGACAGGTCTTGCGCTGCTTGTGAAAAAGTTGTCTTGGAAAAAGTGGAAGACAGATTTTAAATAAATGACAGTTTTCATTTGTAACTGGGTATAAGTTTCACTGGGCCATCTCTGTAGTACTGAAGAGCCAGCTGAGATCATTCACACAGTTCAAGTGAAGTTGTGATTTCAGTCCCTGAAATTAAAACAGTTCTTAAATAAGCGTGCACCGTATTGCTGTCTATGCCAGGGTACTCGGATTCCGCAGCACTAGTGCAAGGCAGGCTGTGAGTCCTGCTTGTTCCCAGGAAGCTTTTCTCTCAAAAACTTGAAGTAGGGTTTCCATTGTGCATAGCTAAAAAGAAACGTTTTCAATGTCTAATGTGAAGTATTAAACAGTTCCCCACGTTGCCATCCTGTAAGCAAAACACAACATGGCAGAGTGTATGGTGGAAGGTGAAGCCTAGATGGACAACAGGTCATTGCTGATGCATTAATCCTCTTCGTTTACAGTTAGAGAAGACTTTTAGTGTGGCAGCACAAAAAAAAAAACCTGCTTCAGCATCTGGGAGAAGGTTTGTGTTCTGCCACAGGAGGGCAGCAGCTGCCAGCCTGACAAGTGGCAGGGCAGCAGCCCCCCCCTCCAGACACTGGCACACATAGAATCATAGTATGTTTTGGGTTGGAAGGGACCCCTAGAGGTCATCTAGTCCAACCCCCCTGCAGGAGCAGGGACACCACTAACTAGATCAGGTTGCTCAGAGCCCCGTCCAACCTGGCCTTGAATGTTTCCATCTTTAAAGAGTTTAGTTGGGTTTTTTTTTTAGCCACTTACACTTGGTTTTTTTGCCTTCGTAAGAGAAGCACAGAAGAGTGATGGTTTGGCTAGCAGTCCCTCGTGTTGTGCTAGCCTGGCTCCTGGCTGCCGGGACCATTGCTAGCGAGGCTGCAGTAAATAGGCACAGCAGCGTGGCAGAAACACTGGCACCACCACATCAATGCTTGCTGGCTCTGTAGCTGCAAAGGAATGGGAGGATTCTCTGGGGTCTGCGGTATGCTCACGCTGTCTGCGCTACCTTAGGTGCCGTTCAGGTTTGGGGATGCTTCCACAAATACATTGTGGCTGGAGTAAAAGCTTCATGATACGTAGTGCACGCTTCCCTCCCGAAGGACCTGGTTCTGTAGCCAGAGCTGGGTTAAAGAGATGAGAATGCAAATAAGCATAGTTTTGAGGAGTGGAGAGAAGCCACTATGAAGACAAGGCTGCCTTTTATGTTGCTGCTTGCATTGCTCACGCTGCGTTTTCAAGTACAACATTCTAGTTAGGACTTGCAAATAAGTATGCAAGTTTCATTGCTAATGAAAAGCTCAAACCCAAGAACTATTTATAGAAGCAGCACAGGCTGAACTGCACAAGCTCCTTTGCCAGCCTGCCCAACCAGCTGGATGCGAGGGGTGTTCGGAGAGTGGCGGGGCAGTCAGGGTGAGCTGCCCCTTCCTTCCCCTATCAGGCTTCTAAAAACACTTCTGTTGCCACAGGATTTATATCAACAACTGGTAAGTAGAAACTGGCCCAAGCCCTAGGCAAGCTGAAATTTAGACTCTTGCTGAGGCCAGCTGGAGCTGCATTTGCCTGTCCTTTGCATCTTGCATGCAAAGATCTTGGTCTTGCAGCAGACGGCCCACTTAGGCAATGCTAAATAAAGTCAGACCACACGTGTAATTAAACAATATGTCCAGACATATTTAATGCAAGAAGGTTGGTGTTCAATGGCACTGATAAATAAGAGACTTTGTTCAACACTTTATAGGTAAAGCTATCGGTTATACTACGTTAGCAGGTACTTTTGAGGGAGAGGCAGCTGCAGGGGATAATTTAAGTTGTATCAAGACTTGGAACAACCAAAGGGTTGCAGTGGGAATAATTCCATTGTCAGGCTTCAAGATTGCTCGCAGCACTAAGGCTGGGCTGTAGGGGAGGTTCCTTTGCTCCGTTACTACCCCTCCGTTTCTTCTTCTTCTATTGCGAAATGGCTATGGTGGAACAGCTGGGGAGGAGGAGCAGAAACGGGAATCAGAGGAATTTATCTACCTGCTGTCCTGACAAAGTTACCTGCCCAAGGAAGAGGGAGCTCTTCCCCATCCCCGCAGCCCACAGGTCCTCGTTCCACGGATTTAACTTCCTCCATAAGTGCTTTGGCTGCCAAGAGCTCCGACAGCGGCTTCTTTGTAACGCAAACAGTTCCCAGTGGCCCCAGCATAAATGTCTGCTTGTTACTGAAACACTAGAATTTTGCTTAATGCATTCAAAAGCAGCAGGGATAGCCCAGAGTGTTTCAAGAACAGAATAGTTCCACCGCTTAAAACATTCACGCTAACCAGTTTTACAGCTGTGAGCAGAGTCCTACCTGATCTAGTTACAGCTTAGCCCACTGTGCATTCCCAGAACGGATGTTCTTCAAACAAATAATGGCTATTTCATAAAACTGGCTTACATTATCATGCTTCTAATATTTAATATAAACAAATACACGTCTGCTAGGAACAAGGCACTCCGCGCTACACAACACCATGTTACAACTACATATGAATTGCGTGTCTGGGAGAAACAGTAAATGTGAAATTCAAAGCAAGTACCACCATTGGAGTTTCACATTTTGCTCTAAAAAAAAAAGAAAAAAAAAAGAAACGCAACTTCTGTTGGGGATACGCTCAAATTCTCGAATTTAGGAGAATTCTTGAGGGGGAAAATTGCACACACACCATTTCTGGGCAAAGTCAGTCCTGAAGGCCCAAGTCTCCCAACAAGCCTTTAAATTTAAAGCTGCTTTTGAGAACTAATATGCACTTATAACTCATTATTTTGGAAAAAAAGTGTCAGGAAGAACAAACAATTAGGTTGCAATATTATCAGAGAAGCTCCTTTGGTTTGTTTCAAGTTAAACTGGTGAAACTTCATCCAACACTAAAACATGACCCGGGAGCCACTCCAACAGGCTCATGGTTTTACTTCCACGGATAAGGAAGAATCCTCAAGATGCTCCTCGCATGGAGAAACTTCCATGTTTTAAGGGGCGGGGAGGCTATTCTACTTGCCACCGGCACGCTTAAATACCCAGATAGTTACTCCATAGTCACTTTTCTCCATAAACATTTTTTAAAAACCAACACCCAGATATTTAAAACATGTTACTTCAATACTGGCTGGGGTGAGCAAGTCTGGAAATCTTCCAAGTCACTGCAACTTACTGGCATAAAAATGCCGTTTGAATTAGGTATTAGACCGATTATGGTATTTGCCTTTTCATTTTATTCACAGCAAAGTAAAGTTCAGAATACTTGGAAGCTGCTGCAATATTTCAAACAGTTATTAAATTATTAGGTAACGTTGGAAATAACACAGAATCACAGAACGTCAAGGACATGACATTAATATCAAGGTAATGCTCTTGAAAATTCCACCGTGAAGGAAAATTTATCTCTGAATTTTGAGTCAAATTGTAGAGCAAAATCTGCTTACGTGCACACATACACACGTGCGTGCAAGCTGGAGTGGCACTAATGATACCATATAGTACTGAAAAGAGAAAGTGCTTTCCGTAACAGTAGACTGATGTCTCAAAGTGCTTTTAGTTTGTCAGCGATTAGAAAACATTCTCTGCAGGTTTTCACACTTATCTTACAGTGATCTTCAGCAAGGTTACCTACCAGAAAGATTATATATTTCTAATTTCAGGAAGTTGGCTATTCAGAACTTTGGTCAGCTATCGTGAGGCTGTATTGCTCGCTCTGCAGTATAAAACACCCCCTTTAGGGCTCCCTGGATCCCCCACCCAGCCACCCCTGGCTCCTTCGGAGAGGCACTGGCAGGAGCAGGGACAGGCTGGCACGCACGTCCAGCGCCCAGGTAAGCACTTATGGAACGAGCAGGAGCCGGGTCCCGTAGGTATGTCATGTTCCACACACCGGGAGCATCAAATACTCTACAATCACCCCGCAATTTAGCTGCTCAATCAGACAAACCAAAGCCAAATCTCAGTATAACAGTTTATAAGGCCCCTGTGGCTTGGCTTTCAGAGGTGAGGTCTATGGGGGTATGAAGTGGCAAGAGACCCTTTGAGGAAGGCACCACCAGCACAGCACCTTGGTGAGTTGCTGACACCCACCAACTGATAAAAGAAAAGGATTGCTCAATGTCTAAAGTCTCCAGAGTGCTTTACAGCCACCCATCCTGGCCT